GCATCGTACAAAACGCATGCGCAAATTTGAAATAATACTTTTAATAAAATGATTAAGTATTAAAAATCTCTAAAGTAATAATGAAAGCAGCAAAAAGGAGTAGAGCACATATCCATAGTTTTAACTATGATCCAAGTTCAGCGTATAAGGAATTACAGAGTATTGTGTAATATCTATGTAGTTTTTCACATTCTGTACTTCACCATGTAAATAACAAAATAACTGTAAACATTAATGGCACCTAAATATATTTCTTATTTTAAGCATTCCTCTGTAATAGTTCTATGTGCATTATATAGGTTATTATAAAACATTTATGCCAATAAAGTTTGAAGTTAAAATAACTACATACAGTACATTGTCAATCTCTGCAAACCATATTATGCATGCAAACTAAAAAAAAAAAAACTCATACCAGTGATAACTTTTATTTCAAAACAAGTTTGAAAAATTGTGCAAAGAGATATTCAGATAATCATACACACAAATACATGCACACACAAACACACACACACATCATGTACACACACGTACACTCTCACACAATCTACTCCTCCATCATTGAAAAAACTAGCCCTCAACCTCCTTCACGGAAGAAAATGCATGCAGGACTCCCCTTCTGCCATCACCTACACACCCAGGTGGGCAGTCCTTGTGTATTTCAGTACAGTGCAAGCACAGTCAACGAGGGCACCTGGAACTCTTGCACTCCAGTTCACAACACCTAATTTAGATAAAATACAGAACAAACAATATTGAATCATTTTGAAGAATGGCATTATCAGTACAGAGTCAGACAAGGAATTTATTTTTTTATACATTTTAAACATATTATATAGGAAAATGTTAGACAAGATACACTTGAGTGTTATTGGCTTTGTCTGTAGTACCTAAGTGACTTAATTGTTTATGAAGAATACACTCTAAATAAAAACTTTAATTTGGCTTGAGCAAGCCTATCCTAAAAGTTTTGTGGGCAATATAGTTTATCAAGCGCAGACAGATCGGATATGACAGATAGGTAGAGATAGATAGGCACACAGAGATGAATAGATAGATTAGGATAGGATAGAAAATTATTTTTGATGTGGTAATACATCGGCCATATGGCATGCTGGTGTACTGACAGAATGGGCACCTACTACTGCTGCTCATACCCCCCTCTTGCTTAACACAGTTGTGTACCTTTTTGCAGGGGGGAATGGCTCTTAAAACCTTGGATTTATAAAGTAAACAACAACAAAAAATAGGTGAGAGAGATGGAGGACTAGAGTATGTGTTAGAGAATAATTATCAGCAAACACCAAAATATATATAAAGTAAAATAAGAAAAGTGGTACCGAGGGAATATAAATAAGGATGACAATGCCAAGGATAAGCAAAGAGAATGAAGTATAGAGCATAAGAATAAGCATATTTTTTACATGTTCAATTAAATAAATGTAATCTTATTAATTACAAAATAGTTTACATTTAATCAATTTATTTATAGAAAAAAAGTCTTACAATATAACTTTGTATATTGTTACTTTTAACTGTTAAATCATGTTTTTCTTCTGGTTCATTTTTAACACTAATATCCTCCTAATCCCACAAAAACGCACACACACACACACACACACACACACACACACACACACACACACAGACACACACACAAACACTAATGGTGGCGCATTTTTTTGAAACTACATACACATACTGTGATAAAGTTTGCTACGTACAAGCGAAATTACATTTATGCGAGGGACCTGTTTACTTGTCATACAGGTGCTTCTGTGGCAAATGTGAGGAGATGGCTAACTTAAAGAACAACAACATATGCAGTTTTTAATACAATATCTTTAAATATATATTTATAAACGTGTGGTTACACACTATACAAACAATGTTTAAATTATATACACATACATCCTACGACGACAACAACTTTAGACGCATAATTTGTTGTTGAATTGGCTGACAGACTGAAATTACTATTTGCTCAAAAATCATAAAACACACTGTTACTAGAGGTGACGTTGGATTGTAAACAGTAGACGACAATCCACACTTGAGGATTAATTTTTAAGCCACAACAACAGGATTAACCATAGACTGTAAAAAATATGGACGTAGTGTCCGTGACGTCACCCATAGGTTTCTGAAGAGCGTTTTTGAGGCCTAAAGTGGGCGGGGCCGGCCGTCGCCATCTTGGCAGTGCGTCACTTCTCATCACTACCGGATAAATTAAAATGGGCAAAGAGGCGGGACGCGGGTGGAGCTGAGGTGCTAATGCTATGCTGCCCTCGCGCTGAATTGACAGCTGATTAAAAAAGTAAAGCCAAGGTTAAAGTTCATGTTTTGCCCTTCGAAATATTATAATAGTTAAGACGTAACTAAAAGTGAGACTATTTACTTTACTTTTTTTTTATCAATTTTATTAATCTCACAAGGGGCAATATAAGACCATGTATACAAGTACATAACACAGATCACACACATTTCTCACAACAAACAAGCAGTCAACTATGTGCATCGTGATGCAGTATTATTCTGCTAGTTAAAAATGTATTAATTACTTACAATATTGCTCTAAGCTTGTGCATGTGATGTGACAGTGATTCAAGGCAAGCACATGTCAGTCGGCATCTCACGTCAAGTTCGTAAAGAGCTTTATTCAGTCCATTTATACAGTCTGATTTTGGCCACCAGCTCCTCAAGATGGGTCAAACCAAAGATATTACCTCAGAACTCCAAGTAAATGAACTAGAAATGCGCGCTCATTCAAGGGTGTGCATCTGAGAGAATGCACTGAAATCATCAGACATCCATGTGAGGGAAACTGCTGGAAACACAGCGCTGGTTATTCTCTCCATACTCAACACGACGGAATCCAATGGCATGCACGGGCGAAGGTATAATACATGTATTAAATTGTATGAAATAATCCCGGAAAAAGCACAAACACAGCTGAGGGTGACGCTAACAGACAGCAGACATTCGACTAGCAGTGAAAGCGGCAAGTGGCCACGCCCTTAATTATGCAGAACTTTAAGGCTTAAATATAATTTAAACAGATGAGTTGTAAAAAAATTCACCCCCCTCACAGTCGTCATGAAGGGAAAAATGAGCTCAATAGACCAACGCCACTTTTTGCTCCAGGCTGTAAACATGTTTTTTTCTGCTGTAAAGTTGGGCATTTTAACATGGGGGAGATACAGATTTGACTCGCTTCTGCAGCCTGCCTCAAGCGGCCACTCGATAAATTGCAGTTTAATTCACTTCCGTGTTGGCTTCAAGAGAGAGACGGGGAGGTTGCCGCTTGGGATTAACCCACGAGTCCATGACAGAACACTTATGTTTCCAAGACACATTACCGGCTGTCGTTGAAACAATGGAGGATGGTGTGTACAGATCACCGAGGGCGGGGTCTATGCCACAACCACACTGTCAATCAAACCCCTTGCTCACTTTCTACGCCACAAAGAGCTGGATCTTAGAACAGCTCGTTCTGAGACAGTGCATATGATTTATCAACACATTCTCACACCCCAACTCGTCACATATGGACGCTTGGGCAGGACCCCTTGGCGTCATTTCTTGACGCACTGGGTATACCTTTGTCGTCATTTTTCAACGTGCAGGGTAGTCCGATAGACTTCTATAGTTCTCTCAACCGGAGCCTGTAGCGTTGAAATTTGACGTCTTGGGTAAGCTCACCGCAATGGTCTGCTGCGAATGGGTCGAGAGTCGAGACTGCAATAAAAATGAATAGGCTACAATAATGATCTATGCCGGGGCTAGTATAGTGGTGGTGATCCAACTGTTTCTACATGTTTAAAAACCCTCACAATCTGATTTCAAAGTGCCCTCAGTCTCCGCAAAGGTTTAGCGGCTTCATGTGCAACCGCATTCATCGATGAGTTTAACAACGCTCATTGTGTTGTACAACCATTCATCGGTGAGTTTAACAACACTCAACTGCAGGTAAAGCGGCATTCAGAGGGGAGTTTAACCAAATCAACGTTAAACTGCATGTAGAAAGGCATTTAACGGTGAGTTTAACAACGCTCCACGGCGTGTGCAAGTAAGCAGTTTAAGCGTTTTCTTGTCGAAGGTTAACGTTACTGGCATCCATGATGTACACGTGCTTTAGAGCATGCAGGATAACGTATTTTTATCGGAGTTTTGTTTATGTTAATAAATATATATATAATGTTTATATAAAATTTATAATGTTTTTTAATTTAAATTTGTATTTTTTTTAAATCATCTAAATTAATAACGCTGACGTCACTGTATGGTGCGATCCCGAGGTCCATTGCGATTTTCCACTCGGTAAGTAGAAGAGTTAATTAATAGAGATGGATACTATTCTTAAATGTACACATCAAAAACTATTGAATTAGGACAAGAAGTTGTGTTTAGAACCTTTAGATGTGTAAGGTGGCAATTTATTTTGACAGTAAATGATGGAAAGAGACAATATGAAAATATAGCTTGATGCTGCAAATGTGCAGGCCAGCAAAGTTAATTGAATTAAAGTTTTTGTCAAATTTTGTTGCATATAATCCTATGAAATAATCATGTAAGGCAATACTAGTGGAGATTTTAAGGTTTTCAGTATTACATTAGCACACAACTGTTATTCAACATTATAAATGTTCAGATGAAGAACGGTGTTGCCAGATTGGTTTGTTTTACAGCCTATTTGTTTAAAATCCACGCAAAATTATATAATTAACACTCAAACAAATGTATAATAAATCATATAAATTAATTTTTATGCCCTTTTTATCACACTTAGTGCGACCTAAAACCAACCAATTGGCTGGAAAACTATCCAATCTGGCAAATAGAAGAATACTGTTGTAAAATTAAGGTGTTCAATTCTGATTTGCTTTTTTCTCTCTCATCAGGTCCTTCAATTTTGCCTGCTCTTTATCCCACACGACACATACACACACAGAAACACACAATAAAGGCACTTTTAAGAGCCACGTCTGTCTGTTTCTTTCTCTCTCTCTCTCTCTCTCTCTCTTTCTCTTTCTGTGTTGTTTGTTTTTGTGTATATTTGTTGTCAAGTCATGACAAGGCCCAAATTCAGGCCCTGCCCTTCTTGCCAGACTCCCAATCAGGCAAACAGGAAAACTTGCAATGTTTGTTTTGCAAGCCTGTCCACCAAAAAAAAAAATCCAAGAAAAAGTGGTGTCACTGGATAGCCAGTGGGGGGAATCTGTGCTTAAAAGCAGAAATGCTGGGCGTATAATTGATTCTGCCCGTATTGCAGTAAGTAAAAGTGTTAATATTTCATAAGTTAGTGTAACCTGAAGTGAAGCTGAAAGCTTGTGTTTTTCACACATTGCATATCAGACATATATACCAATGTGACCTGGCCTTTACTAACATAGTCTTATTGCATACATGGAATAATCCTTTTTTACCTACAAATTGTGCTAGAGCGTAACTATAAGTTGTGTTCTCTGTGAAGTATTAAAGGAGTAGTTCACTTTAAAAAAAAATTTTGCTGATAATTTACTCACCCCCTATGTCATCCAAGATGTCCATGTCTTTCTTTCTTCAGTCAAAAAGAAATTAAGGTTTTTGATGAAATCATTCCTGGATTTTTCTCCATATAATGGACTTTAATGGGGTCCAAACGGTTCAAGGTCCAAATGACAGTTTCAGTGCAAACTGTTCAAAGGGCTTTAAACGACTCCAGACGATGGATAAGGGTCTTATCAAGCGAAACAATCGGTCATTTCAAAAATGACTCGAAAAAAGATTCGTTCATTTTGATGAACGAGTTCGAACAGGAGAGTCACGAACGCTCACAGACCAGAGCAAGGCGACCATTTGAGCTTATAAAACGTAAACTTTTTTATTTATTTATTAAATGACCAATAGTTTCGCTAGATAAGACCCTTATTCATCGTCTGGTGTCGTTTAAAGCCCTTTGAACAGTTTGCACTGAAAGTGTCTTTTCTACCTTTAACTGTTTGGTTCCCATTGAAGTCCATTATATGGAGAAAATCCTGGAATGTTTTCATCAAAAACCTTAATTTCTTTTCGACTGAAGAAAGACAGACATGGACATCTTGGATGACATGGGGGTGAGTAAATTATCAGCAAAAGTTTTTTAAAAGTGAACTACTCCTTTAAGTAAGGCATGATTGCAATGACAGAAACTGCAGAGTACCTCTGGCCTTATCTGAAACTGGTCATTGATTGTACAGTTTAAGAGTAATGTTTCTTGCATTGTACTCCAACTCCATCAAATGTTTTTAAAATAAAATTGCTTTATATAGTACTAAAGTTTCTAATAATTCAGTGGGTTTAACTAATGTGTGATAACTGCTTTTGTTCATTTCAGGTGAGTAAACTTGAAGCTGTGGGGTACAAGCCAATATTATTTATTGGCAAGCCAGACAAAAGGGCTTCAAATAAATGGGTTGCAGATATAATTACCCATCTGCACCCCACTCCTGTCACTAAAACTCTTTTGGATAAAATGCGGAGGGCCTATGAATTTATCTTGACAAAATGTAAGTAATGTTTTGGTTTTGCAATTATGAATATTTTAAGATACATGTATATTTCTTTGTTAATATGTTCAGGTTTTAAATTAAAGTAAACTTGTATTATAGCAACCTCCTTAGCACAGCAACCGGAGAGTCAAGCAGCAGAGGGTCGAGCGGCGGCAGAGGGTCGAGCGGCAGCGGAGGACCAAGCGTCGGATAAAGTGGCGGCGGAGGATCAAGGGGCGGAGGGTCAAATGGTGGCGGAGGATCAAGCGGCAGCGGAGGGTCAAATTGTGGTGGAGGATCAAGCGGCAGCGGAGGGTCAAATTGTGGTGGAGGATCAAGCGGCAGCGGAGGGTCAAATGGTGGCGGAGGATCAAGCGGCGGCGGAGGGTCAAAAGGTTGCGAGGGTCAAGCGGCGGCAGAGGATCAAATGGTGACGGAGGATCAAGCGGCGGCGGAGGATCAAATGGTGACGGAGGGTCAAGCAGCGGCGGGGGGTCAAATGGCTGTGGAGGGTCAAGCGGCGGTGGAGGGTCAAGCGGCGGCCGAGAGTCAAAAGGTGGTGGAGGGTCAGGCGGCGGAAGAGGATCAAATGGTGACGGAGGATCAAGCGGCGGCAGAGGGTCAAATGGCGGTGGAGGAGACTGTATTTGTTCTTAACCTTGTTCCTTTGTCTTCCCCACTCTCTCCAACCTCTCTCTCTCCTACTTGCTCTTCTACTTCTACATCTATTCTTCCTTCACTTTCTTCCCCACTTTCACTGCCATGCTCTAAATCTTTGCGACAAATTAAACGTAAAAACACCTCTACCTCTTCACACTATTCTCGCTCTGTCTCTCCTCCATCTCTGTCTGCCTCTTCCATCTCCACGTCTTTGAGTCAGGAAGGGCCACGTGTGAAGAACAGAAGAAAAGGTAACTTTTTGCATGGTACATCTTACTCCACACTAAATAATTTTGCTCCAGTTAGAGTTGACTTCATGTGAATTGGAATAATTCAGCGAACAGTTATTGGTACCCAGTTTGCAGTACTTTTTTTTTCATATTAAACTATGTTATTCCCTTAACTAAGAGGAATTGATACATACCTCTGTCGTCTCAGTGCGTACACTCAATCACTCTGGCACGCAAGACACTTTGATCGCACTTAACTAGCCCAGTTCATTCAATAGGGGCCAAGCAGAGAAGCGACCAAACACCTCCATGTTTTCCCTATTTAAATACAGTTACATTAGCAGTGTAACTCGACCTAGGATGGTGACACAAAATAAAACACTGTGCTTTTCTAAGCGTGTAAAGTAGATAACTATATTGTATGGGGGAATACCACAGCAAGTGCAAGTTCATATATCTATGAACTCGGCGCAGTAATATCTTCACTCTGTCGAGGGAGAGGACTTTTCACGAGTGATGATATTACTGTGCCGAGTCGAAGTGCTCCCAAGCACTTGCTGTGGTATTCCGCCATACAATATATTTATCCACTTTACACGCATAGAAAAGCGCAACGTTTTATTTTGTGTCACCATCCTAGGTTGAGTTACACTGCTAATGTAACTGTATTTAAATAGGGAAAACATGGAGGTGTTTGGTCGCTTCTCTGCTTGGCCCATATTGAATGAACTGGGCTAGTTAAGTGCGATCAAAGTGTCTCGCACGGCAGAGCGATTGAGAGCACGTACTGAGACGACAGAGGTGTGTATCAACTCATCTTAGTTAAGGAAATAACATAGTTTAATATGAAAAAAAAGTTGGAGTATCCCTTTAAGGTCCCTTGCACACTGATTCTGAAATTTTGGTATGCGTTTTTACGTATTCGTCATTCGGTGGCTCTGAATTGTCAAAACACCATTCAAAATTCTTGCTAATGATCCAAAAACTTTTTTTTTTTTTATAACAGATGAAAGTTTCATAGGCAGTGTGTAAACGTGATTGACTAAACATTTATTTGTTGTATTTATTTTGTAATGTGCGAAAATTTCGGACGTGAATTACGGAGTTGGTGCACAAGAACCTTTAAGAGGACTTTTGGGAAATCAGTCCTGTATTTTTGTTTGATTAGCAAAAACAGGGATGAATTTACTTTGACCTAAATGGAAAGGACTGCATATCACCTCGCATGTGAAATTATAAATTTGGACAGATTCCGCTACAAATCATGGCATCATGGCTAAATAAACTTTCCTTGTCTTTTCATCATTTCAGGTTGCCAAAAATGTAGTAGGCAGAAGGTTTTCCAGTTTGATCGAATAACTGGGGAACGGATAAATGAGGTAAAATGTGTTCTGTTAGGCTGCTTAGTTTTCTAAATTAATGATTTGGACCTTTCAAAGATAATACAACATGTTATGTCCTATTCCGTGATTGCTTAAACAGTTAAAATTATTATTATTCATGTTTGTGTGTAGGGGAATGCTGAATTGAAAGTCCACTGGTTGCCATGCACTGTGTGGTGAGTCATGTTTTATTAATTATTCAATTCCATGTTGCAATGCAAATTAGTCTATTCCAGGATTAATATGATGTAGGAAAAGTTCTGGTGTCTTGCAAGCAGCGTGGAAGTTCATTTCAGTGTTTTCTGTGACAAGAGAAAACTCACTGGTCTGTAGTTGTTCCCGTCAGTAAATCATCCTCCGAGGTAGCCTTTTGAAAAACTGGAGTGAGGTCAATTATCAGTACTCAGAAGGAAATAGCAATGAGGTGGAGGCATTTAGAAGTGCTAGATCCCTCAGGTAGGTCCTAGGGAGGTAGTAACCTTTAGGACAAGCATTCCAATGATGAAAAAATTATGGAATAGTCTTCCGAGCATTCCAAATTCAGACACACTCTCTTAGTACAGACTTAAGACAAATATCTGAATTTGAAATGCTCGTAAGACTATTCCATCATTTTTAAGACCAAGGGGAGAATTATCTACCTCCTTGTTTTTATTTAGAATATTCTATTTTTTTATATCCTGGAATTGTGTTATTAACACAATGGATTGTAGGTAACAAGGAGCTGAAACATTCGGTACTTTCTAAAGTAATTAATATAGTTCTAAAATTAGCTGACAGACAGCCAATGTATGGACAATAAAATGGTCCTGATGTGATCATGTAAGTGCTATATACATGTAAAAATTATTATTATAATTATCATGGTTTCTGTTTCTAGTAAGTACTCTAGTGGCTAGCTCTAGCTCTGAACTAGCTTATTTATTGAGCCTGCAGGACATCCACTCGGTAATGCATTACAAAAGTATTATCATGCATACATAAATTAATCTTTCAGCATCTGAAACACTTTTACATTTTGATGAACTATCTAAATTGAACCCAACAGTGATTTAGATTTGTTTTCTCTGTGTTCTAATGATTTTTTTTTTGCACTTATGATATTTTACAGTGGCAAAACTTGGGATGATACGTGGGAGCCTGCCAGTGAATTCGCACATTTTATGCCTAATTCCCCACATCCCAACCAGCTTTCAGCATGATGTGTCGTGAGCCTAGTCAGCTGGACTTAAGCAGATTTTTTCTTCTTTTTGTATTCTTTTTATTTTTTTTTTCTTGCTTTTGTTCATTAAAGTTTTTTGCACAATACCCAGTCTCTTTTGTGTTTACTTGCTTAATGGTGTTTAAAAAACAACCTTTTTCATGAACTGCACAGATCATAAGGGAGAAAATTAGTGCAGTTGGGAGTTTGACATAATAACATTTTTTTTTATTTTTTTTTTAGTATAGGTAAGTCTACTTGATCTATTTGTTTGGTAAACAACAGAATACTCCTTAATATATTAAAATGTCACTTAAATGTAGTGGTGTTTGAAATATTCAATTACAATATTAGATATTAATTCCTTTAACATTTATAATCATAATTGTTATTATTGTAATTACCTATTTATATTTGCCTTGCTTTTTTTCACAGCAAAATAATGAATAATGTAAAACTAAATGTGTGTGTGTGTGTATATATATATATATATATATATATATATATATATATATATATTGGGGGCAATGTGTTCTTCAAAGGGAAGGGGTTAAAGAAACGTCTTCATATATTTTGGCACATCACATGAAAAACTAAGGTGAACTACAAGGTAGTGGGCATTCAAGGTGAACATGATGGCTTCAATTTACTTATTAGATTATATATAGTTTCCATTGAAGGGGTTTTTGTTAGTCCCTTTTGAATTTGATTAAGAGATTTATTTACATCTGTTAAACAAATACTACAATGCTATAATAACTATCAAGAGTTTGTATTTTTGTAAGATCGCTCATATATTATTATTACGTTATACAATAATACATTATACATAAATAATCATGGAAATTAAGTCGTATTTCTTTCAATGAAACATAACAACAAAATAAATAAATATCCTGGATTTGCGTACATCAAAAGTCGGAAGAACCACCAAATGGCCAAGTGTGACGTAGTTTTGACGTTTCCATGGCGCCAGCAGGACAAGCTGTGGTTGGACTAACGTTTATGTCAGAATAAAAACCGCTCCATATCGCAAACTATGTTTTGCTGTCGTTATGACGTCAATAATACTACCAGTTAACAATGAGGTATTGCTATATTAAAAGATATTACACCTTTACCGAGATCCTAACCCTAACCCTGTAGTGTAACTACACACTTCAATGAACTACAATTTACAGCGCCCGTCCCAGTGACACAACGATAGAGGCTCATGGGTAATATAGTTTTAAAACGTATTGTTATGGAATTAAATAAATACAATCTTTAATGAACAAAAGTACATCTAAATATGTTAATTAAGCTAATCTCTTCGACATATTTGAGATTCAGACTAAAATGTGGTATTTCACTGTGAGCACTTTTTAAAATGCTTTTGTAACAACTTTCCATGTATGCCAGACATCTCTGTTCAACATTATGTATCAAACATAACAAAAATAATTTTCCTACCAATGTTTACTTCTATACGCTTATCAGACTTTGCATTTGCAGACTTTGCAGAGTGTTTTTTTTTTTTTTTTTGCTTTTCCAGGGGTGCTACGGGACCCCTGAGGGAGGAAGGGCGGATATAGCTACTCTCTTCATCATGGACAACAAACTGTATTGAGTCACATTTATATCTGCACATATTCCCCACCTTTTCTATATTTATATATGCTTGTGTTTGGTTTTTGATCTGCACTCGTAACACAAAAATACAGTAATATTTTACAAATGTTTTAAAATAGACTTTTCAGAATTGCTAAAACACTAACCCCGTTTACAGACAACAACTCAAAATTGTTCACTTATTTCTAATTGATGAGATCAAACCAATTGCACATAATACAAGTCAGTTCAGAGTTCCAAAATTGATTTAAAATGTTGCACTGAATGTTGATACAAACAATGGATGGTAACAATATAAGAGGGAGAGTATGTGAAATAGGTGGTGAACAAAGAGGAAGAGGAGGAGGATGAGAAAGAGCAGAGCAAGGTGTGGAGAATGTTTTAAAGGCTGGATCTGCTTTAGCGATTTTCCTTTTGCCTGAGATGACATTGTCTGTGATGTGGCCAAGGTCTTCCGGCCGGACCAACATGAAGACATGATGTTGAGGCAGAATCACTCTCTCACTGACCATGATTTTGCAATAATTCTTCTGAGTGTACATTTCTGTTTACACACGTTTTGATAATAATAGTATAATAATACAATAATATAATAATACACTTTTGAATATACCATGTAAACACTGCTGTTCTAAATCTAAAGCTCTTTGGTCTTTCATAGGCTTATATCTACATTTCAATACAATGTTCTACAGTGAGAGTAATCTGCTGAGAGGGGTAACAAGTACGCGTAAACACCAATGCAATGTAGAAACAGAAATTATATATTAGGCCAAACATTACTATTGTACACATAGCATACAACAAAACTATAAACATGTACATAAGCAATGTTTGCACATGTGAGGAGTGTGTGTAATGTTTGCACATGTGAGGAGTGTGGTGAATAACTAAGTGTAGCATTTTGATTGGTTGTGTCTTTGTGTTTTAGCTATCTTGTGTAGCTATCTTATTTTTAAGAGAATTGTGTGTAGTGTTTTGAAAAAAAAAAGTGTTTTATGCAATTGAAAACTGAGTCAAAAGCTGAGAAATAACGTATGGTTTGAAGATTTGGCAAATAGTTTTGCACTTTGAGTGAGAGGTTTCAAAAATCATGTGACATGAAAAGATTTTGTGTGTAGGCAGTTGGTAAAAACTGTAACATGCTTTTGATTTAGGCTTTTTTCACGGTAACCTTTTTGTCTTTTGCAGTTGTCTTTTACTGTATTTTCACAGTATGCAAAACAGTGCTGAAGACATTCAATACTATATAATATTCGGTAACAATATGCATTTTACATTCCCGTTACCCATGTACATACTATATACTAATTATAGTAAATACAATCACTGGGTAATAACTATGTTCTAACCCTGAACCTACCACTAGCCCATGTACTTACCTTATATTAGCCAGTACTTTCTAGGTAAGTACACTGTAAGTACAGTACTGTAAAAGGAAGCATTAACCTATATTCAGTACAATTCTATACTTGCAGTGCTTACAGTACACAATTTATTCACCTTGTCATTATTATACTTTTTAACGTAATTGCAAAAACAAAATTACTTAGTTGCGATACATTTCTTTCTGGTAACTGCGTGTTTTTGGATTCTGTTCTTAATTTTTTTTTTTTATCTATTGTATAACAAATGATCTGTAGTGATCATAATAATGATTATTCCTCCTCATCATTATGGTTTTCCTCCTCATAATCTGCTTCTTCCATGTCACTAAACAGGTTTCAATGGGCTTTATGCACAGCTGCACTACTTCCTGAATTTCAGTCAGCTCCTTGTTTCCTGTCTGCCATTATTGGCCAAATTGATTAATTCAGGTGTGCTTGACCTCAGTAGTCATGGCAACAATAATCAGACACACCTGAATTAATCAATTTGGCCAATAATGGCAGACAGGAAAAAAGGAGCTGGCTGAAGTTCAGGAAGTAGTGCAGCTGTGCATAAAGCCCATTGTTATACAACACCCTACAGTTCAACTAATGAAAGTTACTATACCTCACAGTACAGTACTTTAATTAATGCAATTACATTCCATCACTGACTGGTTTAAGAGGCATGCATGTACACATTTCTATGTATGTGAAAGAAGAGGTTACACTTTGGTTTTATTTATATGGTGATAAATAGCAGATTTTATTACATGCTTTATATTCATAGTTAAGGCTATTGTCCAAGTATGAAAGGTGTTACAGTCTTGTAGATTACAGTCCATCATCAGAAATGTCATCGTCACTGTCGTACTCATCAGATGATGCATTGTCCAAAAAGCTGATGTTCTCTGCTCCGGACAAAACTTGGAGGTAACAGTCTCTTGCTTGCACCTTCATTTCTCTGATTTGATGCCGCTTTCTGAGGATGATGCTGTGCAGACCTTTCAAACCCTCTCCACTTAGATCACATTGCGAATCTTAAAAGAGGAACACAAGAATATAATACCAGCCTTAGAAACGTTATAAACAGTCATCATTGTTGTGTGTATATTTATTAGGGCCCCCTAATAGCAATCTTTTGTCGGTGCAACCCTATGGCTATAGCCTGGTTGCAACCAGACCATTCATTCATAATTGAGTTATGGTCTGGCAAAGCATCATAGACAAATCATTTCCAGAGGGGCGTCACCAACGGACATCGCGGATAGACCTAAAACCAATCAGAGTGATGAAGGAGATGACGTATGCAGAGCGGTGGAGAAACATCTCCGAGTGTTGTTCTTTGCTCGGTTTTTAACACAAAGGAAACGTTCAAATCGCTTAAAACAGACACGATAGCTGATTCGAACGAGTGATTTGACAGCGGCACCCAACTTTATAATGTAGGCTACAAAATCTGCTTCAAAATCCTAGCGCTGTTGTCATCGTGTAAAGCCCGCCCCAGCGTTTCTGATTGGTGCCGCGATTTCGACGGATTGGAAATGAGCTTGAATGAGCTCTTTGCCAGACTAACTTTCAGAGCAAATCTAAATTTGCCGGAAGTTGTATGGGTTTTCCCAGGCTACTATGGTTATGTAATTTATTACAAATACATAATATAGAGTGTCTCACTTGAAAATAAGCAGGACAGCTCTCTGAGGGTATCAGAACGAGCTGAGAGAGATTTCCAATGGTGGTCCATCTCTGCAACAAGAATCTTCTGCTCCTCCTCAAGCCTCCTTACTGACATGATGATGTCAAAAGCTCTTCTCTTTGTCCTTAGATCGACAGAGTCTGGAATGCATTATGATAAATAAACAAATCATTAGTTTTAAACATCAACCTTCAAAGACCCTCTAAAATAGTATGGGGTTGCAGAATAACATTTGAAGTCATTATGTATCAGATTTGTCAGTAGCAGTCAACAGTCTAGTGTACATACCACTGTGTGGGAGCTGCCATGGCCAAGCTGTCTCACCAGACAGAATGGTGTCTAGGCAAAGAGTTTCTGTGATTGGAACCATTCTGTTGTATTTCTCCACAACAGATGTCAGGATTCCCTTCTCCTCCCTGATCTTGCGGCGGATTCGGGCTCGACCTTTGTTGCCATCGTTATCTTTATAGAGACGCTGGGAACGTCTCTTGATACTGGCTACCAGCACCTCAATTCTGCTGGCCAGGGCATCAGCATCATTCGTAGTTGTTGTTGCTGTTGTTGCTGCTGAGAAGAAATAGGTGTGGTTTGCACTTTACAATACCAGTAACAATTACAATTATTTGTGACTAAATGTATTACAAGTAATCATTTCCTTACCGTCAGCCCAATCCTTTACATCATTCACCCAGTCTTCCAATTGGCTCGCTGTCACTGTCAATTGGGCTTTCATGGTCTCTAGGTTTTGTAACTGGCTTTGCAGAGATTTTGTGGTCTACAATAACAAACAGTAGTAAGAAACAAGAACCAAATGTTCGATGCACAGCTTCATACACTGCTAACATGCAATACTGAACATCTAAAATTAATTCTACTGATGTCATTACCTTTTGATATCGGCGGGTCAGTGAGATTGCCAAATTGTTGACCTTTTGCTGATTCCAGCGCATGGCCATGAGAGTGAGCATGTCTGTGCGTCCTGCAAAGACAGAAAATAAGATGTTACCATATTCCTCCAAATTAGGATGTACCTAGTGCAGTATGTCACCTTACCTGCTTTTGACATATGTTTTGTGGTCACTGCAATCCTAGAGAGGAAGGCATTGCACTGTTCCACCTCCTCCCCCAGTGTTAGACCAGCCCCATCCTGATATGCCCCACTCCATTTCACCTGGTTAAGAATAAAAATAAAATAAAAAAAACAATAAAAAAAAACAACAACAACAAAAAAAAAAACAGATGATTGTAGATTTAGATAATACAATTATATCATATAGCAACATTTCCTTACCTCACATTTAAAATCATGGGCTTTGGCATGAAATACCGAAAGGAAAGGCTTCATGTTCAGAAGGTGCTGGAGCTCTGGACAGCTTTTCGCAACTCTTTGGAGGTAGGGCCAATATTTGCAGGTCACATCCATGCAAAAAAAAGTGATTTGCCTACTGGCCAGCTTTTCTGCAGGTACAGGGGATAGGCAAAAATTTCCCCCGATACATATTTAAGGCAGAGAGCAGGACACCGTGCCGACACACCGCAAGCTCCAATCCCTCCTCGTCTACCTTGCTGGCAGATCTTTGTGAGGTCTCTCTGGCTGCTGACCACTCACCTCCACAAACACCTCTTCCACTGACCTACAATAAGAAAAATGGTGGATGAAAATAAGACTCTCATAAACAAACTCTTCGGAAAGAGGTTTTACAAAATTTTACATGTTTGGTTGTGTTGTGAATGTGGTCCACAAATCTTTTCACGTCTTCATCCTTGGCAATGAAGACGTCTTCAAAGATGGCCTGTTCCTCAGATCTAAAAAAATAAAAAACAACAATTGGTGATGGATAACAATTTATGATAACTTATAATCTGAGATTTCATGGTTCACACATTAAAGAGTTATGTTTTCCTATTAATAAAAACAATGTGATACACAGTTTGGAGTACCTAGCAGCATTCTTGAAACGATAATGCTTGCGGTTTCCATCAACTGAAACTGCAAGCATTTCAGGGGTGCACGCAGGACAGTTAAAGGTTTCTTCCTTGCACATATTGTCCAACTCAAATCGCACAGCCTCCCACTCAAAAAAACTTTTCAGAAAACTGTCCGCTGAGATCTTGCCAGTCTATTAAAAACAAGGAAACCAACAGCTAATAATGTACAACAAATAAATTAGCATCAAACAGTTTATCAAACCACAACTCAACAAATATCAACAACACTGCAGGATAGATAAATTAAGTGCTCACACGACCAAAGCGGACAGTTCGCTGATTCAGCATTCTTAAAAATGCTTGGCAGGACAGTCCTGGTGCCGCCATCTTCATTTCTTCAAATGAAAAAAATACATCTGTGGCATAAACTGTGGCAAATTGAAGGGTTGCAGGCCAGTAGTCACTTCTGTTTAGGTCAGCGACTCCAGAAGTCCAAGTGGCTTGGCATGCCTCACAAATTAACTCGGGCATGCTTAGATCATGTCGTCCTGGAAATATCAAAAACACATCCACTGTAATGTAAACCAGGATTTGTGTTCTTTGTACAATTTATACATTACAGTTTTATATCAATGTCAAACTTGTAGGTAGTCACGTATGGATATCAATTTTTGTAAGATGCTTCTTAAACAGGACAAAATAAAGTTCTTCACATTCTTACCATTCATTGTGACCACAGCAACAGTCTTTCCTGGACTAACCCTCAATGACTCTGGTGAGCAACCACAGATTTTGTCAGGCATCTCCACAGGTACAAGCCGGACTGAAAAAGAACATATGGTACAATTGAATTATGATCAATTTGTATTGACTGAGATTGTAATAGATCAATGGCAATGAAGATAAATCCAAGATAAAACAATAATGGAAAAAAGGCATAATTTAAATAATAAAGCTTATGAGCTTAACTATTCTGAAAATTATACAATGTTGTACACAAACCAGAACTTACCACAATGGGAAAGAGCCTTATCCACCACGTAAGTTGTTGGAGGCAATGGTTGGAAGAATCCAGCAGTCATGGCATCTCTGTTGTGAAGAACATGTCTGGTGTGCATGCTGACGTCACATTCAGCACAGAAGAAGGGACGTGGTCTACAGTCACAACACCGGACAGCCGCTGGATTACTCCCACACTGTTGGCAGATGTGTGTTGCCACATGTTCCCTTTCCGCAGCCGTGTTTACCAGGCGGGGTCTCTCTGCCCTCCACCTCTCTGAAAAGAGACTTTGTCTTTTGCTCCAGTTTGAGGAAGCCAGAAGAGGATCTCTTGGGGTTTCAAGAGGTGATGCTTCATCACCAGAGAATTCACTTAGTGAGTGTTGGAGATCTTGTAGAAAACACTCTGTAAATGATATGGAATATTAAAAAAAATTCATTCCATGTATGTGTGTATATATATATATATATATATATATATATATTTTTTTTTTTTTTTTACAATATTAAAGTGTACTCAATTTGGCTGTGAAAGGATCAGTATTCTACCAAAGTTTAAAGTAGAAACATTTATTTACATTCTAACCCACTGTCATAAATGTCATAAATATCATATAATATATAATATATATATATATATATATATACAAGGGCTAATGGTGACACAATGAAGTACACACCAACAGTCTCTGGAGTAAAGGCCACCTCACAGTTAGGGTCAGGAGCAATGAAGGGAGGATCAGTCTTCCGAATGTGATCAGCTGTAGAGGATAAAAACAACACAAATCAACATTTATAACTTGTCCCAATGCCTGGTTGCCCGCCTAAAATGGTGCAAGCTCACTGTTTAACATAGAGCTAGAGAGAAATATTAGTACACTTATTTTCCAAACCCTAATGGGGAAAGTCCAATTACTATTGGTTATCTGCATATAAGGTGTCATATAGATGATGACAGCAAATATGAATCCTTATATAGAAGCAGATTAAAAAGAAACACGTTGGTTGGCAATTGACAACACACTCTGAAGAATAAAGTGTTTCAAACACAGCCTTGCCAAGACCAATAACTTGAAAGAGATTAAGTATGATAGTAACCAGGCTATCTCATTTGACGTTATATTAACCATTTTGACAAGAATGCCTGACAATGTCAATACAGCCCACAATTAAACTATTTTTTATGCTTTGCAGAAATATCTAATATTAACCTGAATGTGTCTTTCACTTAATCCAAGACTAATGATATCTTTCATTAATCTACTTTTTATGCAAAAAAATCAAATGACTGATTCTGGGTTGACTGTTTCCCTGCCATATTACGCTATACATGTATTGTAACATATACACTCATAAGTGGTTAAACAATCTACAATATATCTTGAATGAAAAACAATACTGACCCTTATCTGAATGATTCCTGCTTGATCTTGGCCTCGCATGAACGATATTTCCAGTATTGTCTCTTTTTCTCCAAACCACCCTCGGTTCAGGTGTCTTTACTGGTGCTGCTGCTGCTGCCTCCTCTTCCTGCAGCTCATCAAGAAGGTCATCAAGACTTTGGAGCTCATCTTTCAGTTCTTGGTCATCAACCAAGTTATCCAAGATCATGAGATGATCTTGGATTTCTGAATCACTCTTGGACATTGTGATGGGCAGAAACACAAACAGACAGAAAGACTCACAACGAAGAGATGACAGACAAACAAATAAATGTAGAGGAGAGAGAGAGAGAGAGAGAGAGAGAGACGAGAGAGAGAGAGAGAGAGAGCTAGAGAGAGACTGATAAGTGCAGATTAACAAGACAGACGTGGCTCTTAAAAGTGCCTTTGTTTGTGTGTGTGTTTTGTGTGTGTATGTGTGTAAGAATAAAACTCGTTTTAGAGAAGCTGCCAATTTTTGAGGGTCCTAAAGAAAAACAGAATTGAACATTTTACACCAGTATTCTCTTCATCTGTGTTGCCAGAATGAGCTTATTTTATGTGATATTCATTGTATACAGTTCATAAACTAGAATTTAATATTGTTAATGACATTTTAGAAAAATAATTAGACAAGAAATGTTGTCTAAAATTAATTATATATAATTCATATACGAATCAGTCAATAAGTTATGATATAATTACTTATTACATTAATTATACATTAATTATACGATTTGTTTGGGTGTTAATTATATATTTTGCGTGGATTTTAAACAAATAGGCTGTAAAACAAACCAATCTGGCAACACCGTTCTTCATCTGAACATTTATAATGTTGAATAACAGTTGTGTGCTAATGTAATACTGAAAACCTTAAAATCTCCACTAGTATTGCTTACATGATTATTTCATAGGATTATATGCAACAAAATTTGACAAAACTTTAATTCAATTAACTTTGCTGGCCTGCACATTTGCAGCATCAGCTATATTTTCATATTGTCTCTTTCCATCATTTACTGTCAAAATAAATTGCCCCTTACACATCTAAAGGTTCTAAACACAACTTCTTGTCCTATTCAATAGTTTTTGATGTGTACATTTAAGAATAGTATCCATCTCTAAATTAACTCTTCTACTTACCGAGTGGAAA